AAAAAAAAGCAAACTTGATGCTAACATTTAATTCAATTCAGTTATAAATTAAAAATTGGTGATAGAGGCGTTTTTGAATTTTGCAATATGGTGTGTATAATATTATCTAATATTCTAAATGGATTGAATTAACATTTTTTTGTCCAGCCATCATTATATTTATTTGATTTCAAGCATGTTCATTCATACTGTCATCCGCATTTTCTTAATAGTTTGCTTTTTTTTCTAAGATAATAATAATAAATTTTAGTTTGGTCTATTTGGTTCTTTAATAATAATTTATTGAAGTTTAAAATTGATGTTCAGTTCTGCTTTATTTTAGCATTGCAAAAATTCTCGTAGACATCGACACATAGATTATTGCAAATATAGAAATCAACCTAAAAAACTACGATCCAGTTTGGAGTCTAGGATATATAAAAATCATTTTGAAGATGAAGAAGTTGGTGTTAGACATGTTCATGGTATTTAATGAAATGTCTAATTGTGAATTAAATCTTTACTATATTTAGATGCAATTTATTCTCTTACCTTAATAACATATAATAGATATTGCGTTTAAGCCACATCCTGAGTTACCTAAAGACTTTTTATCACATGAACAATTTTGGGCTCGAACTGGATTTGAGGGTAAGTGAATCATACATTATACAGTATAAATAATTATATTTTCATATTAATTTATCTTTTAACTTTCAGATCCATATACTGCCTTGGAACAAGAAGATTTTGCAAAATGTGACCATGAATGCCCTGATGAAATTCATCAAATATCAATCGATGGTTTACCACCAGAAAAATCTTATTGCGATTTGCAATTGTTTCATGATCCTATCAATATTTTACCTATTGGAAAAAACGGATATTTATCTAATGACGGACATGTATTTCTATGCCGAGATCCTAGGGTTGCAGCTTTTCATGTTATTTTTGTATTGGATCGATCATCATCTATGAGTAGCTGTGATCATCCACCAACATTGGATTCACGATTCGGAAGATCATTACAAGAAAATTTCAATAATCGACTTGGTGCAGCGTTACAGGCAACGGATCAATTCATTAAGACTCGGATTTCTTCTACACAGAACAAAAATAAATGCACAACAATTGTTAATGATATTGTATCTGTTATACTTTTTGATCGCTATTCCGAAGTTCTATTTGAAAATAAAAGTATATTTGATACTGATTTTATTCAAAATAAATTGATTGAGAAAGGAACTGGAAAAGGGACACATTTTGACAGAGCAATTAAAAAAACTGGACAAGTTATTGATAAATATTTTGATATATCTAGGTAATTTTTTTTTTTTTTTGGATATTAAACTACAGATTACAATCACATAATCCACTTTTATAATAATCATTAGATTAAATGTTGTGATGTTTCTTTCTGATGGAGAAGACAAGTTTCCAGAAAATGAATTGGTGGATATTTGCCAGAAAAATAAAGATAAAGGGTAAGTTGTAAGAAAGTGTTCAAAATTTATCTTAAATGCTAAATCAATTTAAATTAAAATTACATTAAATTATAAGATCCCCAATATTTTTTAACACCATACATTTTGGTCATTCACTTTTTGGAGCCGGAGTTCTTCAAAAAATAGCAGAAATTGCTCAAACTTATCATGATACTAGTTATTCTAATAATAATATGCAATGTAAGTTTGTAAAAGCGCCTGATACAATATGTCTCATTGATAGTTTTACAGATGTAGCATATAGTTTGCTAGTACATAAGCCTATATTAATGCAAGGATAAGAGATTTTAGAATTTAAAATAATATAAATTGGTTGCAACTGTTCATGCTATATCATAGATGGCTTGTTTACCATATATCATAGATTGCATTAGTTTTTTATTTTACCATATATATTATAACTATATACAGTATATATTTGAGTATTTTATTTTATCTATATTTATATATTTATTTGAGTATAATTCATTAAATATTTATTTAATATCAGATATAATTTATTAATTATTATCTATTTATATCTCTGTTGAAATGAACGTCTTGACTAGAGATGTTATCCTGCTTAAAATGCTCAAAACTGCTTAATGAGATTTGCTCAGTATTACTATGATTACTTTTGATATATACCTAATTAAACTTATTCATAATATTTTTAAGAACATATTTTATTAATGGCAGTCAATAATTTAGCTCGATTTGAAGAATATATTACTATTTTTAATGCTCAGAAACCCTGTTTATGAAACTGGTTTGTTTAAAACTGCTCGGAAGCAATTATTCATTTCGAGTATGATTTTTTAATTATTCTCTACTAATCAAACTTGTTATTAACATTTTTTCGAATGAAGTTAATTATTACGAAAAATTATTCTGACTGTTTTTTAGCAAGTTATTTTGAAAGTTAGTTTAGGATAACATCTCTTAATTATTATTCCTTTTATCGCTCGTTAATTATATATTATTGATATCACTAATAACGCTTTATCTATTAAGAGACTGAATCAGATACTACTGCACTGTATATATGTTTATCCAGCAGGATCTATGTAAACATCAACGAAAAAAATTTTACATTATTTCTGTATTTCTGCAAATTTTTATTAAATCATGTGACAAATTCTTATTAATTAGAGATTTATGATTTTGTCGAATCATTTTTGCCTTATTTGTTTGGTGGGTGTTGAAAAGGTGTGAACCAGTTCTGGTACGGAACTCAACCGGGGTTTTGGTTACACCTGTGTTCTGGTTAATAAAGAATCAACACTGATACAACAATCAACCCTAAGTTGGAAGGCCGAAAGAGGGCGTGGAGGATTTGGTCTGAGTTTTAGGGATCTTGTAGATTATTTTTGGGTTATGGAGGTAGTATGTGAATATTGTATTGTTGCTTCTAGTTAGCAAATTTAGAACAGTAGGATAACTACAGCTGTTTATAAATTTTTGAATTAAGTTTAAGAAATAACTTAATAGTTGTTTGTAAAGCTAGAGAAATTGAGTTAGTATATAGTTAAATTGTATGAATAAGTATATATAGTAGGAGTTCTTTGAGTAAAGTAAATAAATTAATTATATTAAAAGAGTTTGTAGATAGCTGAAGTGAAGGATGATTTATAATTAAGTTTTTTAATGCAAGAAATTGAGATTGAGTAATTTCTAAGTTTGTATTGTTGAGAGTTTCAGTTACAGATTATGAGATTATTTTCTGTAGTATATTAGTATTATAGTTTGTAATCTAGTGAAGTTCTAAGTCTGTTTGGTTGCATTTAAAGTATTTGTTGTTTGATATTGTTTTTGGATAGTATTAGTGTAAGTATGATAATATTAGTAGTTCATTATACAGTAATTTAATTCAAAAAGTTTTAAGTTTACTCAATTTGAAATTAGTAAACTTGCTTAAGTATTTGTTGTTATTCTTCTTTCTAATAAAATGATAGCTGTACACGTAATGTACCCTTTATGATATTTGATTAGTTGGATCAGACAACTTGTAATTAAGAGTATAGTACGAAAAATTAGTAGCAGTAGATTTTTTTATTTATTAGATAATATTTTTTATTTATTAGATAAAGATAATATTAGATAAGAATTAGTAGATTTTTTTATTAGAAAAATAAAAATATATACATATATTATATATGTATATGTTTACATATTATGTTATATTATATATTGCAATAAATAAATATAATTATTATTATCTGATGATTAAACTAGAATTTATGTATTGTAATAAATAAATGTAATCATTATTGTCTGAAATTGAAATTTATGTATTGTTATATATTATGTATTGTAATAATCATTATTGCCTGAAATTGAAATTTATATATTGTAATAAATAAGTAAATGTAATTATTATTACTTGATGATTAAACTAAAATTTATAAATATAATCATCGAAAAAGATAAATAAATGTAATCATTATTGTCTGAAATTGAAATTTATGTATTGTTATGTATTATGTATTGTAATAATCATTATTGCCTGAAATTGAAATTTATGTATTGTAATAAATAAGTAAATGTAATCATTATTACCTGATGATTAAACTAAAATTTATAAATATAATCATCGAAAAAGATAAATAAATGTAATCATTATTACTTAAAATGACTAAATATATTATATGTATTGTAATAAATAAATGTAATCATTATTACTCATCGATTAAACTAAAATTTATAAATATAATCATCTAAAAAGATAAATAAATAGAGTCATTATTACTTAAATGACTAAACCTATATCCTGTATGTAGTGATAGAACCTCCTAAATTATTAATAATTATTATAATAACTGATGATTAATTGGTTGAGTTATCATTGTTAATTAAAAATTACTTGATAATGTATAGCGCAGCCAAATAAAAAATTGTAGATATATGATGTAGAAAATATACTTGCATTTGGTTTTATGATATAATAGTTATATCAATTTGTAATTACTATTACTAATAATCTTTCTTATATTGGCATTCAAGTGATTAGTAATTGTCACATTTTTTTCATTATATTATCGTTATATATCAGATAATCTTATATGTATTAGCATTCAAATAATCAGTAATTGTTACATTTCTTTCATTATATTATCGTTATATATTAGATAATATATTATATATTTATATTATATTATATAATATAATAAATAAAAGAGATACGACAATTCTAATGTATATTAATAATTGCCAAAATTATTAATTACTGTTAACTAATTATTAACAAATTATTAGTGTTTTATTCTTAACTAAAAACTTAGCAGCTTTTATTACTATATGATCATCCAAAATAAGAAAATAAATACGTATACGTAAATAAAATAAATAAAGTAAATAAAATAAATAAAAAAATATACATATAAATAATGATAATAAATAAATAAATTTATTATACAAACAACTGAACCCGTATGAAAAAAATTTAGTATAACTTATTTGATAAGAATGAGTATAATCAATATTACTGAATAGTTTGTTTGAAAAAGCAAAAACTTATACACATTTGTTGTATGTATATTATTTATGATTATAAAGCCTGTTAACGAAGTAATGGAGTGATCATTATTGCAAGATCAGATAACTTTATAGCTAGTCACGTTTCAGGTTTTTATGTATCTTTTTATAGTAGTTCTTTCAATTGTTGTTATTAACAGGTAATTTTGGTTTAACATATGATTATTTGAAATTCACATTGTTATGAGTAATGATTAGATTAGTAGCAGAGGTAAGGGATAATAGCCATAGTAATAAACGAATTAGTGATATAGGTAAATGGGAAAAGGAGTATTTAAGGACAATTATCTTGGTAAAAAAGATTATCTTTCTTTTCATTATTGCTCGCCTTGTGAAGGCTAGCTCTATTACCAACTCGAATTTAAGCAAATGGTATTTGTTTTGTTATATCAGGCTTCATGGCTGTGCTAGCAGTGCAAGGATCTGTTGTTTGGCTTTACGACTGCAGTAGCAGTGCAAGGACCTATGTTGTATTTGGCTCCACAGCTGCAAATGGCAATGCAAAGACTATAATATAAATGATTACTTATTTATATTGATATGAGTATATATATATACTGATTCTCTTTACACTATAAGAATAGTTGACATTTTCTTTCTATATAGAAGGCATTTGATCTATGAATTGTTGTGGTTTATCCCTCTAAGATATGCAGAGTATTATTGATGTCTATTTTACCTACTGTTTAATAATTGATATCTCCATATTTGAAGAGTATTGATAATATATGTTAGAGCCATGAAGGGTAGCAAGCCTTTATCCCATATGTTTTTCAACTTTGTTAAATAAAGTTATTTATTTTGTTTAAATAAAGTTATTTGGCCAAGCAATAATAATATTATTTATTATAAATGGTAATAAGTATCATGATTATATTGTTTAATAATAAGTAATGTAATTTATATCATTATCATTCATTCTATTTAACAATAAAACAATAATAAGTGCTGTAATTGATAAAAAAAAGTTTATTTAGATAATTTTTCTAATATATGCAAATAAATGAGTAATACAAATAGTAATAAAAAAAAAAGAGTAAAACAAATAAGAAAATAAGAAAAGATAATCAAATGTTTTTACTTGAACTGATTTTTTTAAAATAAGAAACAAAAATAATATATTAATATATGAAAATAAAAAATACGGATAAATAATAATAATAATAATAATAAAAAATCAGAAACAACTACAATTACGAATATTTATCATCTTTATTTAGTAGAATCTGTTATTAAACTATGTGATCTTAAAGCACTATGCAAACATTGATTACTAGATTCTTTACCTTTATGACTTTGTGAACTATTTTCTTGGTAACTGTTACTTGGTTCTCCTTCTTTCTGTTCAAAATCAATTAAAGTATTTGTCTCATCTGCATAGGACTTATGATCTGATTGTTCATCTTTGACATCTTCAATTTGTACATGTTTTTGAAAAGGTAAATTATCAGATGAATTAAGTTCAGGTTTGTCATAAGCATCATTCGAATTTGATGTAAATGATTCTTCTTTCTCTTTAGCACTTTCTGAAATATTCCGATATGTGACTAAAAGTTTAGAACAAACAGAATTTTCAGATACTGAAACAATTTGAGACATAGAATTATCAAGAATTTTTTTATCAAAACAAGTATCAATAAAATTAATATCTGTAGTATAAACGTAAAAATCATTACTGAAAATTTCCATTTGTCTAACCACAAAAATTAATAATTCATAAGGACGAATAGTATTCTTTAAATATGCTAATCTTGAATTACGATAAGGAAAAATAATTTTCATAATAAAATTGCATTTTTTACTATCGTAATTTTAATTAATACTTGAATAATCGCGTTTTCATCATTTAAAACTTCTTGAGGCATATTTTGAGAAACTCCCACTAAAGATATTTTGAGTGGACATTTATTCGACGTAACAACTTTGTTAAGAATAGTTAAATGTGTAGAAGTAGAAACTGTCATCTAATAATTGAAATTGATTAACTGGTACTAATTTTAATTTGAGATTTAATTTAACATACTTTTGCTTTTTTATTTTTTCTGTAACGACTGGGTACAATTTTACCTCCAACAGAATAGAAATTAACTTTTTCAAAAATAGCTTGCGATTCTGGGTCTCTTTCATTTAAATTGGCTGGCGCAAATAAAATCATCTTTATTTCATAATCCTTACACTCTACAGGATATCCTCCAATTGCCCATACCCTTATAAAATTAGTATTTTCATATTCATGTTTCTTAACGTATTTAACTCTTACAATAGTACTTGCATAACAAGGCATTAGATATTTTTTATTAACCTTTTATTTTTATATATTTTTTTTAATAATATAATAATAATCAATAACGATTTATTGATTTAATAAGAAAAATTTTTTTGAATACCGTAATGCTAAAAAAAAAGAAAACTCAGTTCTTATTAAATACAACTATTCAAATTATTACTTACCAAATTAAAATAAATCGAATATGTCATAATTACCTTTGACTAACTAATTATTATGTTTATTTTATCTAAAAAAAATTTGATAATATTACATCATTTGAAATTTATTAATTAGCAACTATTCCTTTTTATGCTACTTTATACTTTTTATACACTGCTATATATAGTATATATAAAAGAAAAAAAACATCTTAATTCAAAATATTCAAAAGGTAAAGTAAAATGCCGAAACAAAAACTTTGTACGAAAAAATGGATAACAAATTATAAACGTGGATATCAAGCAAAAAAACAAATTACAATTAAACAAAAAAGAACTTATATTAAAAGAATCAAACAACACAATATATGAAAATCAAAATAATGAAATATTACAGGAAAACTCTTATAGACAGATAATCACTTTATCTGAATACAAAACCCGTAATACAATTCAACATCATGATCAAGAATATAATATATCAAAAAATATATTCTGGTGTGATATGTAATACACTTTAAATAGAAATGCTTTAATACTATTAACCTTCTCATGAGATCGAATATGTCCCTACTGTTCAACAGTACTTCTCACAGGTGAACTAACTGAATTTTGCTGTAATCGAGGAAAACGCCTTATACTATTATTACCTGATTATCCTATGAATATGAATATTATTTTTAGTAATCCTAAAATTAGTAGTTTTTCACGAAAACTCAATGCACTTTTTTCTTTTATGGCAATTGGAGTTCAAGATCAATTTGTAAACTTGCCTGCACTATCCTTAGTTTGTATTACAGGATGCACTTACCATCAAAGTCTACTATAAATAGTCCAAACCATTCAATACACTAGTATATATATGATGAACAAGAACGATATATTGCAAGCAGAAACCACAAAATACTAAAAGAATGGATTTTAATTATTAATACTACATTGACCAAAATTAACCCCTATATACATTTATTACGAGTTTTTAAAAACAATTCATATGATGGAATACTTGAACTACGTGAAAATACATCTACTGGAGAAGTTGCTGTTATTATATATGCCGATAGTATTGCTAATGTATAACTACATAGTATTATAATCTGGCATAATACAGATATTGTATCTAAATTTATAAACATACTTAATTCTTAGTATGAACCATTGCAATATCCGTTACTTTTTTCCCATAGTACTTCTGGATGGCATCCCAAAAATTTTTACAACCTATCTCAAATTGACTGGTATAGATGTCGTTTATTATGTAAGCAATGATTCTTAATATTTGGAAGGCTAACTTGCGAATATTTAGTTGACATGTATTCATGTGTTGAAGAAGAACATTTAAACTATATTTTAAATGAAAAAAAACGTATTTACTAAGAAAAAAAAAATCAAAATAGAAACAATATAACAATTGAAAAAGATTATGAAAATAAAGATGAAAATGTTAATGGAGATTTACATTTTCCTGCATCATTTTTAGGATCTAAAAGATGGTGCTAATCTCATGTTGCAAATGCTCTTGCCCTTGTCCAATGTAAAGGAAAACTGAGTTTTTTTATTACAATAACCACTAATCCAAACTGAACAGAAATCTAATCTCAATTACAACCCAACTAAAATGTATTAGAAATTGCTCTAATTATTGTACGTACATTTTATTCCTATCTTAAAAAATTAAAAGATTTGTTACGAACATACTTTGGAACAGTTATTTATATGATTGATGTGATAGAGTTTCAAAAATGTAGATTTCCCTATGCTCACATAGTAATACGCATACAACTGGAACTACCTGTTGAACAAATTGATAAAATCGTGAATGCTGAATTACTTCATGAACAATCACATTTAAAAAATGTGGTAGAAAAGTATATGGTACACAAACAACAACATTCATCATGTTGCCTCTGTAATAATAAATGTATATATGAATATCCAAAACCTTTAATTTCAGAAACATATGTCGATGATAAAAGCTATGTACAATATCGCTGCCAAACATGAGAAGATGCATAGATAGTACTATATAATCCTATGCTACTCCTAAAACTAGAATGTTATATTAATTTTGAAATTGCTTCAACTGTTCACCTATTCATGTATCTGTACAAATACCTTTTTAAAGGCCCTGATCATATAAATTATACTATAAACAATACATCTGAAAATTCTAGTCGGCAACCTATTAACAAATTCAAAGACTATATTAATGGAAGATATTTATCAGCACCTGAAGCAGCATAGAGAATATTCGTTATCCTATAACTACATCAGATCTATCAGTTCTAACACTTCCTATACATCTTCAAAATGCTAATATCCCTCAATACTGACGAATTAAGAATATTATATCAACAGCTTTATTACTAGATCATTACTTCCTTAGACCATTAGAATCCCATTTTAGTAACTTAAAATATACAGAATACTATGAACAATATATACTATATCCCTACTAATATAATAAAATATGCGAAGATGACTTTATTGAAAAGAAACATTTAAAAATACAGAGAAAAATTGTTCGAAAACGAACTACTAACAAAATTACTAGAATAGTTTTAGTTTCTCCAGAAACTGTTGAAATATTTTAACTTAGAACAATTTTAATGCATCATGCTACTTGGACATGGGATGATCTCAAAACAGTAAATAAAAACCTTTATAATACATACCAAGAAGCTGCATATGAAATGAGACTATTTACAAAAGAGAATGAAGATATCTTTAATATAGAAGAAGCTATTAGCAATTATTATACACCTGCACAACTGTGTTTTCTATTTATACAACTTATATTACATGGTACTACAGCTCTTAAATTATGGGAAAAATATAAAAAAACTTTCTCAACTGATCATCAAGAACAATTACATAATAACCTAAATGCTATTGAAATAACATTACAACAAATAGCTTCCATGATTGCAGAACATGGATGATGTATAAAAGACTTTGGACTTCCAGAACCAAATACCTAGATACGAGAAGTAATTGCAGAATGTCAACATTACTCTAATTATATTAGATACAAACAACTAGCTGAAAAATCATACTCGCAAATGACTCAAGAGCAAAAAATTTTTTATGAAAATATTGTAAAACACATACTCTAAAAAAAAGATAATCCTGTTTAAACATATGAATTTCCTATATTTTTAGATGGAAAAGCTGGCTGCGACAAAACATTTCTAATTAATGCTATTTGTTATGCAATACGAGCTGCAGAAGAAATTGTTCTAATATGTAGAACAACGGCTTTATCAGCCCTTCTTTATGAAGGAGGACATGCTGCCCACTCATTATTTTGTATCCCTGTAGAAGAAAATAATATAAACATTCAATCAACAATTAAATACATGAGTAACCAAGCAGATTTAATTCGAGAAGCAAAATTAATCGTATAAAATGAACTTCCTATAGCAAACAAAGCTGTATTGGATAGTGTAGATATTCTTCTCTAACAAATTTGCAAAAACAACAAACTATTTGGAGAAAAACCTCTAATAGGTGTTGGTGACTTTTGACAAGTAGCACCAGTAGTCAAAGTTTCAGGAAGGACCTCAACAATTAATGCATCAGTTAAGACTTCATACTTATGAAAATATTTTCATAGATATGTATTCAACCAACCAATACGCAATGCAAATAATCCAATCTTTGCGAAATTCATTGATAATTTCAGTGAAAACTATAAAAATCATGAAATTTCTTTAAATATATTTAAAACTATTCAAAATATTGAAGAAGCTACTTTATTTCTATACCCTGAAAACATACTTTCAGATAATAATATTCTACAGAAAAGAGCCTTCCTCAGCTTACGCAACTCATTAGTTGATGACTTTAACTACAAAATACTCAATAAACTACCTGGAACAATTCATATATATTTCAGTCATGATATTGTTAAAGAAAATGATAAAATTATAACTGATCATCCTACAACAACACCTGACTACTTAGCCCAACTAACATACCTAGGAATACCTAATCATGAAATTCACTAAAAATTGGAACTATATGCTCTATCATGCGAAACATCTTTATAGACAAAGGATTAGTAAAAAATACACGAGTAATAATCACAAACTTAAAACAACGATTAATTGAAGTAATCATATTAAAACATAATAATTCTAAAAATTTATCAGAAACCTTTCTTATTCCTAGGATAAACTTTTACTTTCAACTAGACTATTGTTCATAGACAGTACATCGTAAACAATTTCCATTACACCTGGCTTATTCAACAACTTTCAATAGTTGTCAAGATCTTACATTAGATCGTATCGTAATTGATCTCAGAACTCATGTATTTGCCCATGGACAACTTTATATAGCATTATCTAGAGTAAAAAAAAGAAATGACGCCCTAATATTACTACCAGACAATAACACAGATGAAAAAACAACCAACATAGTCTATCAAGAACTAATCCAATAAATGCTTAGCATATTTAAACCTAGCAAAAAAATAATAATCCATACTAACACTAAACAATTTACTCTAAATATTTATAATACACAATTTTTAAACAAAATAAATATTAAAAACTATAGACATTATATTTATTTATACTTTAAAAATTCAAATAATTACAAATAAACTTAAGAAAAAAAATTTTTGCAAATCTAAAATAACAATAAATATAAATACAAACAAATAGTGATTTGAACTGATAAAAAATTCTTTAGTCGGATAACTGAACTGAAATATTTAATATCAACTAACTGCAACTGATTAAAATTACTTCACACTCTTATCCTCATAAGTTCTCAGACCTTTACTCAATTTTTTATGTTTATTTATTTATTTTTTTTTTTTCGGAAATTTTGGACCTTTCGTTCCTTCTGATATCATTTACATCCTGTCAACTGATTACTAATACTCAACTGATTGTACAAATCAACCAATTAAAAATCTAATCAACTGGTTACCCAAAATTTATTCAATTCAAGCAGTTAACTGATTATAGCCCAACCAATTCAAAACACTACATACAAATTTTAATAAATCAAAAACCACCTAATAAATACAAAATTTTAACATATTATAGTCTATAATTTTCAGAAATTAATGTAATTAAACAAAATTTCTGACATTTTAAATACAAATTTTATACTCTACCACCTAGAATTGTTAAATCATGACAATTTTATATAAATTTACATAAATTCTGTAAATAGAAATTTCAAATAATTATAATTTTAAACATGAGTACTGCCAAGGGAAAAGAACACTATGACAATTATAGGAACTTATATATCAATAATCGAGTTCAGTAATGATGCAAATCAACATGATACAAAAACTCTTGAAAATCAATCACGATTCATTGTAAATCAAATATATGTATAGTCCCATATGAATAATTTATCATGTAATGATCATAAAATTTTATAATAAGATACCAAAATTTTTAACAAGTTTATTAAAAACTTTAAAATAATAAAAAAAAAATGCTTTATTTTTTTAAAATATAGATCTTATTGAATAATTTAACAAAATTGATAAACAGATTAATACGTAAATTATAGAAAAGATATGATTTGAAGTAATATAAAAAACTACTAACTTTAAATTGTATCTCTTCCATGACTTACATATTAATTTGATTATAAATTTTGCTAAATTATTCGATAAAATCTATATTTTAAAAAAAATGAAACAATTTTTTTATTAATTTAAAATTTTTTAATAAATTTGTTAAAAATTCTGGTATTTTACTATAGATTTTTACAATTATTATATGAAAAATTATTCATATAGAACTATACATATATTTGATTACTTTAATTTTTCTAATTAAATATGCAGAAATTTAATACAAAATTTACATACAATTCCTAATTCTCACAAATTATTCTATTTTATATAAGTTATAAGCATATCATTATGTATAATTTACTCACTAAATCTTAATATTTAAAACTTAAATATATATAACCAATCAAATTGATTCTAAAAACAAAAAATTTAATAATATTATATACAATTAAAAATAGGCATCGTTGGCGCTAGCTTTACCCTTGTATATAATAAAAAAATTTCTTTACTAGATTACAAAATACTGTTGTATAAATATTTCACAAACAAGATCTTAAATCTACTTTTTTTAAAATCAGTTTTAACCTTAACTTTGATAGTAGTTTTTACTGATTTTAACTTTTACTTTCTTTTATAAAGTACAAGTCATTCTTACTATAGTAAACTTTTGATAAAGTAAAGATCTTGATATCTTGAAGAATTTTTTTAAAATTCATTATTAACTCTTCATTTTATATAATAAAGTTTATATAGTATTATCTTGATATAAGCTATATCATAGTAAATGTTATGTGTGTCTAAGGTAAAGTTTTTAAAGATAATTGTCTATATGAAATAGTTTTAACACCAAAATCATATAGTATTAATTTACTGTTTGTACTACTTTTATGTAAAAGTTTATTTAAATTTATCGACTTTGCATATAGCTTAAAATTTTCAATTTAGCTTTACATATATATGATCTCTGTTACATTATACTATATAATTTTCTTTATATGACAAGTGGATTATCAATTAATAATCTTTAAAATTAATAATTATAAAATAATAATATATTTTTCTAATATAAATTTTTGTATAGAATTAAATGACTTAGAGCATAAAGTTAAATTCATTAATAAAATTTTGAAAATCTTGAAATTTTTAATAATTTTATTAATAAAATTATTGAAAATTTCAAGATTTTCAAAATTTTACTAATGAATCCTATCTTTATGCACTAAGTAATTTTGTTCTACATATATTATTATACTATATAAGTATATTAAAATTTATATATTATAAATAATAAGAAAATGATACTGAATTTTAGATTTCTTAATTAAAAATTTCAAAATTATGTATCTTTTCTTTAAAATTAATAAATATAAAATAATAATATATTTTTCTAATATAGATTTTGGTGTAGAATCAGGTTACTTAGAGTATAAAGATAGAATTTATTAGAAAATTTTAAAAATCTTTAAATTTTCAATAATTTTATTAATATATTTATTAAAAATTTTAAGATTTTCAAAATTTTGCTAATGAATTCTAACTTTATACACTAAGTAATATTGTTCTAAAAATAAAATTATATTATATCAATATATTAAACTTTAAATTTTATAAATAATCAATAAATGATACTGAATTTAGATTTTTTCATAAAAAATTCTAAAATTCCGCATCTTTTCTTTAAAATTAATAAATATAAAATAATAATATATTTTTCTAATGTAAATTTTGGTGTATAATTAGGTTACTTAGTATATAAAAATAAAATTCATTAGTAAAATTTTGAAAATCTTGAAATTTTCAATAATTTAATTAATAAAATTATTAAAAATTTTAAGATTTTTAAAATTTTACTAATAAATTCTATCTTTATATATTAAGTAATATTGTTTTAAAAATAAATTTATATTATATCAGTATATTAAACTTTAAATTTTATTAATAATCAGAAAATAATACTAAATTTTAGATTTTTATTAAAAATTCTAAATTTTGTATCTTTTTTTTAAAATTAGTAAATATAAAATAATAATATATTTTTCTAATATAGATTTTGGTATAAAATCGGATTACTTAATAAATAAAGATAGAATTCATTAGTAAAATTTTGAAAATCTTCAAATTTTTAATAATTTTATTAATAAAATTATTGAAAATTTCAGGATTTTCAAAATTTTACAAATTAATTCTATCTTTATATATTAAGTAATTTTGTTCTACATATATTATTATATTATATAAGTATATTAAACTTTATATTTGTTAAGTTTTAAAATAAAGATAGAATTAAAATTAGAATTAAAAATTTTTAGATTAGAATTAGAGAATTAGGAGTTAGAGTTAGAGTTAGAGTTAGAGTTAGGATTAGGGTAAGGGTTAGGGTTATATTTAGAGTTAGGATAAGAGTTAGAGTATAATAGGTTTTAGTAAAATACTGAAGCAGAAGCTACAGCTGTAGTGAAAGTATATACTTAATTTTTATAATTTTAAAAACTAATAAAAAATAATAAATATTTAATAACTAATATTTTTTTAATATAAATCTTAATTTAAATTTATTAACTAATAATATATATAAACTTATACTAAAAAAATTATATTAAAATTATTATTTTATATAAAATTTTAAGAATTTAAAAACTAAAAAAAATAAAAAAACTAACTAATAACTAATTTTAACTCTTATTCTAACTCAAATTCTAACTCTATATTTAAAAATAACTAATTTTTAATTTAAACTTTGATTTTAAAAAATTTAAAAACTAAAAAAAATAAAAAAACTAACATCTGAAGCAATGTCTAGGTCAGAGACCTAGTCATTCTGTAAATATAGAAGAGTTCTTCATTATATTTTTACATAATCAAATCATATTTATATATGACAAAGAACTTTATCTTATATAACTTTAAAAGATATGATAGATTATTATATGATGAATAATTATTTACTAATTTGATTAATTAATAAATATAGGTAATATCGTCACTTCTAATATATTATATATTATAAAATAATTTAAAAAGTTATATAATAATATTAAATCTAATAAATGTTATTTTAAAATATATTTTT